TGTGCCTCCTGCACACCCCCTACCGGGGATCGCACCAGCAACCTAGGCATGTGTCCTTGGCCGGAATCGAAACTGGGACCCTTCAGTCCGCAGGCTGACACTCTATCCACTGAGCCAAGCCGGCTAGGGCTCCCTCCCTTTTTTAATGCTTACTTTTCACAACTTCCTAGACCCAGCCTGGCTTGGCTTTCCTTCTACCTCAGTGATTAAACCAGAGCTAGAACTCAGTTCTTCTGTTTTCACTCTGCAAATTCCCCTGGGCCAGTCCAACCACCCCTCTAATTACCATTTAATATTAATGTATTCCACTTACATGTGCCACAGCCACTTGGCATGTCCAAAGTTGAATTTCTCACCCCCACCCCAAAGAGCCACCTCCTCCCCTTTCTCAGTTCCCTATTTTAGTGACGGCACCACCATCTATTTCCAACACAGAAACCTGGACATCCTCCTTGACTCTCTCACCTCCCCACACATCCATTCAGTACCATCTCATATTGATTTTTTTTAATCACCCCAATTCCCTTTATTTTCTAGTTTAGCATGCCAAAATTTTACGCCCCAAATACAGTGATAGCTTTCCTCTAGAATGATTTCTCTTTTCCAAACTTTTCAACTCACTATAATTTGAGTGATTACTCTAAAATGCATATTTTATTTCATCTCTCACCTGATTAAAAGACTTCAATGGCTCTCATTGCCTTCAAAATAAGATTGAACTTTTTTTTTAAAAATTTCAGAGAGGGGAATGGAGAGGGAGAGAGGGACAGAAACATCAGTGATGAGAAAAATCATGGATCAGCTGCCTCCTGCATGCCCCATACTGGGGCTTAATCCTGCAACCCATGCATGTGCTCTGACCAGGAATCGAACCGTGACCCCCTGGTTCATGGGTAGATGTTCAACCACTGAGCCACACTGGCCTGGCAAGGTTGAACTTTTTAATGATTTCCAAGGCTTTGCATTCAGTACTTCCTACTTACTTTTTCAGACTTCTCTCTCCTTATAGCCTTTGGCCTTTGGATAGCACATTGTCTAGATCTTGGCTTGCGCATTTCTCCTTCTAGACAATATTCCTAGAAAAGTTCCTTTTTTAGCCTTTCAGAGTTCCCTCTGCTGACCCTATCATAGCACTCATCTCAATATAGTATAATTGCCTATCGATCCATTTGTCTTCTCCACTGTATTGTGATAGCATAGTCCCAGTCAATTCGCCTTTTTGTTCTCGGCACCTATCACAGTGACCAGACACAGTACACGCTCATAAATATTGTGAATTTGTGAGTGAATGGCCTTGAGCAAGTCACTTAGCTTCTCTGAGCCTCAATTGCATCATATATTAAAAGGGAACAATGTCTGACCTACATTATAAGGTTGTTTTAGGGTGTTGTAAAAATAATAGGAATGAAGTTTAACGTAGCAGTTAGGAGTGTGGGATCTGGATCTATACTACCTGCTTTTTTCTTTTTTTTTAATTTATTGCTGTGACATTGGTCAACATGATCATACTAGTAGAGGTTTCAAGTGTGGGTTTCTGTTACAAGATATTACCTGGCTTTTAATCCTAGCTCCCACCATAGTGACCTTGAGCAAGTTACTTTACTGTGTTTTAGTTTCCTCTTTGGTAATGCAAGAATAACCATAGTATCTGCCTCATGGGGTTTTTGTGAGAACTGAATTAATATGTGAAAAGCACTTAGTACAGTAAAACACAATAAATGTTAGCTATTAATTATAACATTTTTATTTATAAGCTCTAAAATTATCTATATACACAAACACATGCATCAGTAGATAGATGGACACATGGCACCAATTATTAATTTGAGTGTTTAGGGGGTTGGAGGACTAGTATAATTATCCTTAATTTTTTCTTTTAGAATAATGTCATAGCTATACCAGAGTTTATTTTCCAAGTTTTAAATTCAAATTCCCATTCTTGATATTTTGGTAAAAAAATTTTTTAACTGGTGTTCAACCTAAATTTGAATGCTGAATCCCAAACATTTTTGAGACTGCATAAGTAGTAGGTGGCCATTGCACAGGAAAAACATTTAAATAATAAAAATTACTGGTTTAATTTATAAAGGACAATTATTATGTTTTTGACATGTAACCTTATTTTTCTATGATTTAATTACATAAACAATTTAATGTTTGGAAAGTACAGATTTAATTAAATATGTAACTATTCAAGAAAAAATATAAGCATTGAAGGGTTTTTTCTATATACTTACTTTTTATTGAATTTGTTAATGTTACAGAGCTCTTGCACTGCCAAAGCATGCCTGAGAATTCAGAGAAAGAAATGGTACAATGGACAGCCTATTCACCATCATACAGTATATTAAAACTTGATTCATGTGCATTTTGATAATTTCCCAATTTTTAAAAAGCTCTAATAAGAGTTGATGTTAAATCCCCTTTATATTTATAGTACAGTGTGCCATTAAATAAGTTCCACATATCCATATCAGTTTATTCCTCAATAACATAACCTTCAACATTTTGCAGGGGGGCGAGGGGGAATGCATATTTTTCAGAGAAAACATGTGGCTGAAGGTCCAAGAGATTTAAGAGCCCAATTTTTAAAAAGCTCTAATAAGAGTTGATGTTAAATCCCCTTTATATTTATAGTACAGTGTGCCATTAAATAAGTTCCACATATCCATATCAGTTTATTCCTCAATAACATAACCTTCAACATTTTGCAGGGGGGCGAGGGGGAATGAATATTTTTCAGAGAAAACATGTGGCTAAAGGTACAAGAGATTTAAGAGTTTTGGTTCCTAAATGAAGTCTTCAGTTTAACCAGGAACCCAACCTCTCCTTGGCTTGCTGAGCAGTTCACCCAAACACACCAGAAGGCAGGCATCCTGCCTGCCACCTGGAAAAACACCAGCATTATTGCCCAGAAAGAGTGGGCGGGTCCTGTCAAGAGATCCCATAAGCCCCCAGGAGTCCAAGTCCTGCACTGACACTTTCACAGGAGCATTGTGCATATGTGTTCAGCGGAAAGAAATTGCTCAATTTTATTAAAAAGTTCTTTTTTATTTAAATTTAATTAGATAATACCCACTTGTCTGTTGACTTTAGATCAACAGAAATGCCTAATTTTTATTCTCTTTCTGATTCTCTTTAGAATTGGTGGTTGCAGGATTTTATTCAGAATGACTTTGGGGCGAGAAGTGATGTCTCCTCTTCAGGCGATGTCTTCCAGCACTGCAGCTGGCAGGAATGTTTTAAGATGGGATCTTTCACCAGAACAAATTAAAACAAGAACCGAGGAGCTCATTGTGCAGACCAAACAGGTGTATGATGCTATTGGAATGCTTGACCTTGAGGAAGTAACTTATGAGAACTGTTTGCAGGCACTGGCCGATGTAGAGGTGAAGTACATAGGTGAGTGGGATGCAAAAGCACATCAATATTTCATTTTGTGGGCATCATAAACCATTGTACGTGTTCTGTCTTAGCAATCCGTTTTCCAGTTTCACAAGATACTGATTTTTACATCATGATTAATTAATTGCTTGGAATTAAGTTACCTCAGATTAAAATTTTTTTATTATGTTAGCAAAGGTGCTATAAAATGTATACTCATTACAGCTGCTTTTTGGAGAGCATTGACAATATCTATGAAAACTTTGAAGAAGTTCAAACCCTGGCCTAGTAATTCCACATCTATGTATTTAAGAAAACAATCAGATACAGGAAAAAATCATCTATAAATTTATGTATAGATAGTTACTCTCATAAGCAAAAGCTTGGAACAACTCCTAAGTGTCAACTAATAGAATGACTAAATAAATTGTGATACATTCACCCTAACACTGTGAAGCCATTAAAATCATGTATAACCCTGGCTGGTGCGTGTCAGTTGGTTGAGCATCGTCCTTTGCACAGAAAAGTCACCAGTGTGATGCCTAGTCAGGGCACATACCCAGGTTGCAGGTTCCATCCCCAGTCAGGGTGCATAAGGAAGCAACTAGTCCATGTTCCTCCCCCTCTTTTTCTCTCTCTCTAAAAGTCAATAAAAATGTTTTTAAACATAATAACAAAATAATGTTTAGACGCAGTATTTAATGACCTAGAGAAAAGGACAAAGAAGGAAAGCCAAAAGAAAATTTTAATAACAAATTTTAAAATATTGGTTAGTATCTTAGATGGTGGGCTGACGGTTGACTTTTTTACTTTTCTCTTTATGCTTTTCTCTATCTTCCATTTTCACTACATTTAAATACATTATTTTTATTGTATGAGTATGAGATTCTCTGAGTTATAAGAAATGAAGATTCACAGGAGTTACCTCCACGGGTTGGATATATTTGGTAGGATAATTATGACTAAGCAACCTTGGCTGTGTATCCACACTTCATAAGAGCATGGATAACGTAAACATTAGTATGTCTTTTGGAATTTGGAAGGTTGTCCAGAACCCTCCACAGCCCTAGTGCCCTGGTCATCGCTCTACCCTCCCCAACCCCTCAACACCAAGAGCTCCCTACTCTATCCCACCACAATGGGGACTTGGCTATTCTCAGACCTCTGCTCTTCTGTTTCAGTTTCTGCCTCAACTACCAACTGTATCACTCTCATCAGTGGCCACTACATCTTGCTACAAGTCCTGAGTTTAAACTCTGAATAAAAAGGATCTGATTGGTCTCGTTAGTCCAAGTCAAAAGGGAAGGGGTTGGCCCCCATTCGGCAGAGCTTTCCCAGTAGGCAATTTCATATGCATCTCCCACCCTATATATGGTTTGTCCCAGGTTCAGATACGAACTTCTTTATTCACTTATGGCCAAGTTGGCGTGCCAGCCTGGTAACTTACATATACACTTAACAAATATAAACATCAGTTGGGGGGGGGGGGGGGACAAAAACAAAAAACTTATTTATTATCTTTTTCCCCAATAATGCATCTTCTAAATATACTTTTAGGTTTGTGATGTATGTTCTTACTCTCTTATAACTTTATCTTTGTGGATTAATCATCCAAAGAATAGCCTTTTAAAGACTAACTTTCTCTTATCTGTATGTTCTCGTTGTTCGTTTTGCCTCCAACAAGAGCTGTTAAAACCCCTCCCGTTTAGTGTCAGTTACTAGACATCAGCATTGTTTATAGTTTGGCAGCTAGAGTATAAGACTGGTTCCAGGTCTTTGTAGGCAAAGTAAGGAAGGAAATGGTTTCCAATATTATTATTTAAGAATATGTTTCCAACTTTAGGTTCCTATATTTTATGATGCTCATTTGAGTTCTTGAGCAATTTTGCCTTTCTTAATAATCTTTTTGAGCTTATTTGAAAAGTAAACAGAAATGATAACTATTAGTTAATTATATCACTTAAATACTATAGGTATTAACACTTAAATCTGTTTTATTCTTTAAGAGACATAAAATTATAGACTAAGTCAAATCCTTAAAAATAATTATCTAATTTGATTTTTAAAAACACATTATTAATGTATTCAGATATTTCTGACAATTTTTTATTCCTTTATTTGTAACAGTGTTTTAAGAGGACTAACAATAGTGAGGTGGCTTCTTTAATTGTACAGTTTCTTGGTATATAAAGGATATAGCTATACTGTTTACCGTATATCACAGGTGTAAACTTTGCCTATTTACAATACCTTTAAAGTACCATATATAAAATAAAAATGTATTCATTGTCATAGTATAACCACAACCATCACTATAAACCATACTCATTTGTTTCTATAGTATGGATTATTTCATTGACATCAGATTTTTGCCCAATTAAAGCCACACACAAAAAATATGTGAAAAACCTAGAACCAACTTTAATATGTAAAAGTTAGAATGGACTCCATTAGCACCATCATTTAACAGGAATAGCCCCAGTATTCAGCTTTGCTGGATGTGTCTACTGAGTTTCCCAGGAATCCTCTGAAATTGTATGGAACTCATTGTTTGTATGAATGTTTGTATTGGGGAGGAGGGGTATGTAACTTTGATTAAATTATTTAAGAAATCTGTATGCAGGTTAATAACTTATATTCTAGCCCGGCTGGTGTGGCTCAGTGGTTGAGCAGCAACATATGAACCAGGAGGTCACAGTTCTATTCCCAGTCAGGGCACATGCCCAGGTTGCAGCCTGCCCCTGCCCTTGCCCAGGCTTGCACTCCCTGCTTCTCCAGCCTCTCCTTTTGCCCACCATCCCCACCATCCTCTAAGGCCCCGCCTTCTCCGCTGGGCACTGCACAGTGGCCAGCCTTCCGCATTGCTGTCTTTCAGTTACTATCCCATTCATTTAGCAGCTAACCTGCTCTGTCCTGCATAGTTCTTTGTCTTTTTATGTGCTGTTCCCCACCACCGCTCCCCAGATTATAAAATGCCTTAGTATAAGAACTGTGTCTTTATTTTCCTATATTGCCAGTTAGTAAATTACACCCAAAGAATACTTTAATAAGTGCCCAGTGCACACCCTATTGTTCCTTATAATGCCACTGGGACAGCCAGGCTCTGTATTAAATGCTGTGTTTTTTTTTATAGCCTTAGGAACTTTTACAGAAAGTGTAAAATGAAAACTTTTGTCAGGATAATCATTCATCTAGACAGGAGGTATTTTTCTTAATCCTGACTTGAGGAGCCCTTACAGTTTTCCCCTCTATTAACAGTGGAACGAACCATGCTAGACTTTCCCCAGCACGTCTCCTCTGACAAAGAAGTACGAGCAGCAAGCACAGAAGCGGACAAAAGACTTTCTCGCTTTGATATCGAGATGAGCATGAGAGAAGATATATTTCGGAGAATTGTTCATTTACAGGTAAATGATGTTATGAATCCCTTTAAAAGAAAAAAATCTACAATAAAAAGTAAAAACCTTTGATCAGCAATAAAAAGTACTTGAATGCTTCTAGATTTTGTTTCTAATTGTTATAATAATGGGCATATCACAGTGTTATATAATGTTATATTACACCACTTAAGTTTATGTTTAGTTGCTGATTATATTCACCTAAGATTAGAGACCAAATATAAAAGAGTACACATCTAGCCCTAGCCAGTTTGGCTCAGTGTATAGAGCCTGCTGACTGAGGGGTCCCAGGTTCAATTCCGGTTAAGGGCACATGCCTGGATTGCGGGCTTGATCCCCAGTAGGGGACGTGCAGGAGGCAGGCAATCAATGATTCTCTCTCATCATTGATGTTTCTGTCTCTCTCCCTCTCCCTTCCTCTGAAATCAATAAAAATATATTTTTTTAAAAGTATGACACATTAAAAGAGTGTACATCTACAAATCTAAGGCTTCTTAGCCATCATGAACTTGATGGTTCAATGTAAATACCTCTTTAAATTTTCAAAATATTACAAGATATTTATTAGATCAGATCAACTAGAAGCAAATGGGTTTGAGTTGTTTATCTGTAAATATCATGTGCTTTTGGCCATCATACCGACAAATGTTGATGCTGCATGCCATAGTCATTCCTGTCCCTCATCCTCACATTTTCCAGGACTCAGGGAAATTATGTATAATAAATGTTGGAGGTGAGTCTGCCATGAGTGTTTTGGTCTTTTCATAACCAGTGTTGATTTGCTTTCTAGTATTTTTATCCTCTCTTTGCTTTGAATTTTTATTTTCATGACACCTCAGCAATTTGGAAAATACCCAAAGTTTTATATAATTTTAGGCATTTTTGTTTAATTTTACATGTTTCTTTATGCAAAAATCTCAAAAATTTTGTTCCTTTTAGCAAGTTGAGCGTGTTGAAATAAAACAGCAGTGTTATTCAAATAGTTTATTTGTAACTCACTACAGAATATGTAGTCATGACTTATTTAGACATATAAGAGTATATGCTGTCTATTCCCTCATATCAGAAGAGCCTTTTTCAGCCTGTTATCTATAATCTCTGTGATTCAGAATTGTTCATATTTGGCAGTATAAAAATAACTGATTAAAAGAACTTTATGATTCTTTATTAAGTTGTTCCCTTTTTCCTTTTTGACCTTAGTTATTATCCTGTATGATTCAAATCATGACCTTTATAAACTTTTTATTTCATTCCCAATAATCAAATTTCCATTCTACCTATGTATTATATATGTATTTTTAAACTTTCCTCAGAATTTCTAATTTTCCTTAACTCTATTTTCATCCTGACTTCTAAGTTCTCATTAGGGATTTTCAAAATCACATTTCCCAGTCCTGACAAAGGTTTCCCACTTGTTGGCTAAAAACCAGCAAAGATGAAAAAAGGTTTTACAGACACTTTTCTAGCCTTAGCGGTAAGAAAAATGTACAGTGTCTTCATGTCAAAATAATCCAGACATGCAGTTTTTTATTCCAGTGGTCTGCTACGTAATAAGTACAGAAGAGGGATTCTTTAGTGAAAATAGTCTGAATTATGCAAGCTAAATTGGGAAATATAGTTATCTGATGTAATATTTATATATTTTTTTAGATCGGTGGGCTTTGGTCTTGCCAATTCATCTCAGCCAATTAGTGATTTAAGCAGAAGACTTTTGACATAACAGTGTAAATGAATAGATCATGTGATTAAGTATTGTGATGTACTCTAACAGTCATGGAGACCTAGTGCCAAAATAAAATACAAGATCCCAGAACCCAAAGGTGCCTTAAAACTTGTACCTTTGTTAAGCTCTTAAAAGCCTAGGGATCCCATAGTAAGCATCAACTACCTTGCCTTAGTTTCTTCATTAGGCAGGCACCCCTCTTTTGTGCTCCCTAAGTACTTACCTCTCTTTTCATTTACTACATGATAGACATATTTGCTGGTGTATCCTTTTTTTCTTCATATGACTTAAAGAACCTCAAGGATAGTCGTCTTTGTTTGCCTGGTGCCTGGTTGAATAGGAGCTCAGTGAATGCATGTTGAATGGATCTGAACTGGCCCCAGTTAAAATGCGGCTCCGTGCAGTGTGGTTCCCCACTCCCAGGGCCCTCATTCTGCCTGTGGCCCGCACAAAAGCAGTGAATCTGGTGATGGCATATTGAGTTATCAGTCAGCAAGCAGACATTTCGGCACTTCTATCCTAACTGTAAGCAGTTGCCTACGAATGTTCTCTTCTCAATAACAGGATAGGAACCTAACAGTGTACTGATTGAAAAAAAAGAAAAAAAAAGGAGACCTGAAAAATTGCAAATACCAGTATAACACATGTAATTAAGTCATACCTCTATGTAAGCTTTTGCAATAAGATGCAGTGGGGCCTTGACTTACGAGTTTAATTGGTTCCGTGACGGAGCTCGTAACTCAAATTACTCGTATGTCAAATCTTAAAGTGAACGAGTGAGACACGTGATGCTGGGCTGATGTTGTGGCGTTCACTGTGATGTTGACTGCACCAACTAGCAGTCAGGTCTCTGAAGCTGGCTCATAACCCGAATTTTAGCTCGCAACTCAAAGCAAAAAATCGGCCGAGAGACGGCTCGTATCTCGAAAAACTCCTTAGTTGGGACACTCGTAAGTCAAGGCCCTACTGTATATGTTATCATACTCTGTTGTCTTATATTTCTTGGCATATCTGAAGTTTATGAATCAGTTTCTCTAAATGGTACTCAGGGAATATACTAGCTTAATTCTCAGAGCTCTTTTAACAGTGTTGTAATTTCTACTTTGTATACACACTGAAATAATTTTTCATTTACATATTTTAGAAACTGGAAATGTGAAGGTCTTGTGAAGAAAAGGACAAAAAGTCATGGGACAGAAAGCAGGGAGGATTTGGGGGAAATTCAGAAAATGTTTCACTTTTTTATTAGGAAATTCGAAAGAATTTAGAATAAATTAAGAATGGTAATGTCTGAGAGCCATCCTGAGTGTAGAATAATTCTGTTTACACCAGCCGGTGAGACTGAGATGAGCCTCTGTCCTGACCTCGGGACTGAATGTACCCAGTGAACCCTGGGAACCAAGTCCCCACACTGCTGTCCAGCTCTGGTCTGGCTTCTGTCTTGACTCACTGCCCTGCTGGGAAGGCTCTCTGCTCTGGATCTCCACCTGCTCACTTGGGTCCTTCAACTTACCCAGCTCTTGCCAGGCCCTTATCAACAGGGATTGTTTTCCCTCTCCCCCCACTACACATAGCTACAGTCTGTGTTCTCCCCAACCTTTCAACATCCACCACTGTACCGTCTAGAGACTCCTGTTGCCATGCCTCACACCTCAGGACAGACTTCCTGGCGCTGTCAAGCCAGCCTCCATCAACTCAGGTGTATCATCACATCCGCATGGACACTGATTTAAGCTGCTAGCCATCCCCAAGGGAACCAGCCCACAGCGCAGTTATCTCCCTGGCCATTCTGGGTGTCTTCCCATTGCAGACACCTGCTGCTGAGATCCCAGTGTGTGCCAGTACCAGCTAGAGAGGGTTCCAACTCCGGTCATGCCTGCATGCTCAGAAATGCTCTAAGGACATAAAGGAGGTTATTATGGAAAAATGAGTAATTGTTCTCTGCCTCCACTGAGGATTAAGTCAGAGGAAACTGTGAGTAATGTATGCACAACAGGTGCTTTACTACTGTGACATAATATTTTTTATCGGGAGGCCAGGTGAGATACAGATTGTTTTATTAAGTAGCACCCTCAGAGTACAACTCTACTTACCTGCTACAACAAAATGTAAAAAAATTACGGAATTATTGCAGCAAAAGCCTTGTGCCAACGATATAAAACGCAGGCTCTAAAGCAGTGATGGCGAACCTTTTGAGCTCGGCGTGTTGGCATTTTGAAAACCCCTAACTTTTAACTCTGGTGCCGTGTCACATATAGAAATGTTTTGATATTTGCAACTATAGTAAAACAAAGATTTATATTTTTGATATTTATTTTATATATTTAAATGCCATTTAACAAAGGAAAATCAACCAGAAAAATGAGTTGCGTGTCATAGGTCCGCCGTCACTGCTCTAAAGCGAAGATCTAATTGGGCCTTTTTAAGATCTAATTAGTTGGGGAAATACAAAACTCCGGGATGGACAGTCCAGGTCTTCCGTGGAGAGAGTGCAACCAGTGGCAGGGTCCTAATGCTGAGAGGTCTCTAAGGCTCTAGAGACAAAGTCCCTCATTGCCTCTCAACCAAACTGAACCTGCTACTCCCCTGTCTGGAGTCCATTTCCTCCGAGGGACCACAAACTGACCAGCCTTCCAGATGTGCCCTGTATGTTTTGCCACCTGTTTTGAGTAAATACCTTGCTATGGCTCATCCTCCAGGGCCCTTCGTTCCTTTGGGTGAGTGCCGTTCGTGTGGCTGCCGGCAGGTTGAAATGCACTGTCCAGTGTTCCTCCTGTGTGCTGTGCGGACTCCTTTCCCCCACATATTTGTTCATGCGCAGCTTGCCGCAGCCCCCTGATCTCTCTTGCTAAATGACAGTAAGGCATTTTTAAAGTGCTAGAAGCCTTTATCCAGCTGTACTTTTTTGGTATGTTGGCCAAAGAGTCCCACTCTCCACTGTGTACTATTTGCCCTTTATATTTATGCCTGCCTCTCAAGTGGAACCAGGTTAGCAAATGATAGCAAATTAAATCCAGATGATTTGTGATAAGGAATGTGTTTTGTGAGAAAGACCACTGGGTCATAGAGAATACTGAGAAGGCGGTTATGCAAATGCTTCTATGATCACACTCTCAAATGGTACAGGCACTCCTGATTGTGATGCAAGGCAGGGCAATTCTGGTTAGCTTTTTGTTTATTTAAATTTCTGTTTTAGATGAGCAGAGGCTCATGAAAGCATAAAAGAAATTAGGTCTTCAAAAGGGCCTGAATCACCTATGTGCTACATAGCTCAACAGAGATGATGAGTAAATTTGCTCTGTCCTCTAGTTTATAATTTACTGACGCTGCTGTAACAGCATGGTTGTCACAATCTTTAATTTCAGGAAACCTGTGATCTGGGGAAGATAAAGCCGGAAGCCAGGAGGTACTTGGAAAAGTCAGTTAAAATGGGGAAAAGAAATGGGCTCCATCTTCCAGAACAAGTCCAAAATGTGAGTTTATGTTTCCTTTTCTTTGTGGGGGAAAAAAAAGAGAGTAAATAAAACAAAATGCAACAAAAAAACAAACAAACAGGAAATCAGGAAAGACGTGTTTTTAATGTGGGAAATAATGCATAATAGAAATCCATTTACAATGTATTGGATAGTCAGTGGTTTCAAATTCCACAACTCCTGTCCACCTCTTGGTGACTGACAAACAGCTGGTAACTTAATTTTTCTTTAACCCTGTCCAAGTTTTATTTATTTCATGTGTGCTGGGCCTATTTTCTCTGCTCTATCTTATCTTCTCTAATACCTAGTTCCAGGCCTTAATAGTTGACTTGTGTTTTTATTCCTTTGTTCTTACAGAGATAGGGCACTGGTAATAAAATCCTTATGATGGAAAATTATAAAACCAGCACTTTAAAATGGAATACCCTGCGATTACTATATGCCCCTTAAAGGTCGACAGATCAGCTGCTAAAAAATGCTTCTTAACTTTTTCTTTTGTCTAATGCCAATCAAATCTTACAGTTTCAGAAATAAACTCGATGGTAGAATTAATTCATTCTTTGGAAAAGGAAAAATGATTTATTTCCAGGTGATTCTTCTAGGCCCGTGGTCGGCAAACTGCGGCTCACGAGCCACATGCGGCTCTTTGGCCCCTTGAGTGTGGCTCTTCCTAAGCCTTAGGAGTACTTTAATTAAGTTAATAACAATGTACCTACCTATATAGTTTAAGTTTAAAAAAAAATTGGCTCTCAAAAGAAATGTCAGTCGTTGTACTGTTGATATTTGGCTCTGTTGACTAATGAGTTTGCTGACCACTGTTCTAGGCAGTAGAACTAGAAACTAGTTTGAAAGGAGTGTAGACCATGTGATGTCAGCATGGCAGATAGACCTGAAGGCACCACTGAGGTATGGGCACCTTTCTCCCACCTGACTGCCCTTTGAACATCTTGATCCTCTTCATCGTGGTTACAGGAAAAGTGGGACTGATCTCACTTATCAGACTTGCCCTGGTCAATCATCAGTTCTGTTTGGGGCATGAACATTGTGTTAGTTAAAATGTGTTTGGTTGCAGCTAACAAAACCCTGTTGGAACAATTTAAATAATAGAAGAGATTTACTTGCTTGTATAGCTGGAAGGTCCAGAGGTAGTCGGGCTTCATGGGTTAGTCCAGGGGTGCGCAAACTTTTTGACTCGAGGACCACAATGGGTTCTTAAACTGGACCGGAGGGCCGGAACAAAAGCATGGATGGAGTGTTTGTGTGAACTAATATAAATTCAAAGTAAACTTCATTACATAAAAGGGTACGGTCTTTTTTTTTTTTTTTTTAGTTTTATTCATTTCAAACGGGCCGTAGTTTGCCCACGGCTGGGTTAGTCCAATCCAGATGCTCAGTGGTGTCATTGGCCACCTGA